GGGTCGAAAAAGAATGAAAGTCCTCCGTCGCAAAGTCGATGCACCGCAAAAGGCTCCCATCGGACACGTTCCGAATGGTAACGTAACAACCCTCCCTGGAGTCCACCTCCGCCGTCCCCAATGCATTGGGCACCACGGCGTTGGAAGTCGTTTTGCAGTCGGCACGAAACATTTGGGATTGAAACTGCGCGATGCGAAGCTCCTGCTCCTCCAGTGATGGCATTTCAAAAGCGGCTGCTTTCGAATGATTTTTCCTCCGCCGCGCCTGCTTCCTCCAAAGAGCAACGGTGAGGGCGGCGGTAAACACAATTTCAATGAGAATGTGAAATGGATGCTCCACAATTTGCGTGAGCACAAGGGAAATAAAGTCACTCATAGACATCTGTGTTCTATCTCTCTCTCTCTCTCTCTCTCTCTCTCTCTCTCTCTCTCTCTCTCTGTGTGTGTGTGTGTGTGTGTGTGTTAGATCCTCGTGTAAATAAATTAATAGAATAGAATAATAATAATAATAATAATAATAATAACATTTATTTATTTCCTCATATGACCAGTAACACTTCTACACACTCAATCACAAACAGTTATACATGCAAAGTATAGCATTGGAGGTGCGGGAGTAGAGAGAGATAATCGCCACGTATGTATAAATATATACAACAGACATAAAAATGACTGCATAAAGATCTATAAATGGAAACCCAAACAACAACAACGTCAATAAAAACCGACTAAAGCAACAAGGAAGAAAGAAAGGCATTGTAATCCAAACGATGCACTCTGTAAAACATCAACCAGCGAAAAAAGTACACTTGTACAAGAAGCACTGTGTTACGTTTTTCAAGCTGCAACGTGACAACAATACGAACAAGCCACATTTTCCACTTTCCAAAAGCTCGACGCGCAACACGCCAGTAAGCTTTGTGTCCAATACAGCGAAGAGATTTGCAGGTGTGAGCATATCGCCGCCAACGCAGCAAGAACCCCCCAACAAATCGCTCAAGGCTACACCTTTCCATATCCCGGGCAACAATGCGGCGGGAAATAAGCAAACCCCATCTCTGTAGTGTGCATCGAGCCAAAGAACGGAAGGCTGCATACTTAATGAGCCCCAACTGTGTTGTATAAAAATTTCTTTGCCGCCACCGCATCCAAGTCACAAAAAAAAAATGTGCCAAATGGATTGTACGGGATTCCGATAAAACTGCCAACCTCCGGTGCAATTCAACCTTTCTTCTCGCCGCGGCCCGCCATCGAAGGTATTGGCGCCTCGCCAAAGAGCGTTCGGCCCCATACCGTATACCACGCAAGACGAGAATTTGTCGTGACCGTTTCTGCCGAAGCTCAACAGCCATCCGCCAGAGTTTCAAATAACGAGATGCCAGCCTCAAGGACGCCTCCTTTATTAAAGAATGCTCCATATTTCTTACAGCAGCGCTGCGAGACGCAAACAAAAACCACTTGTAGAACATACGGAGGAATTGTTTGATAACGGCCCCCCTTTGTATGCCCTCAAGAGAAGCCAGAATATTATGTTCGTGAGCAAATCGCCGCCATCTCTTCATGTAACGCCGCAGAAGGCTCAGCAACTCTTGCATGCGCTCGAAAAAGAGCAAAGCAATTGGTGTTGTTGACTCCTCTCTCAAAGATGCCTCTGCCGACACTTGTGACGACAAAAATGCGTCGTGTTTGCTTGTGGCCAAAGTTTCGCGCCCCAATAATACTTTAGTGGTCATATCGCCGGACTGAGCATTGGGGTTGAGGGGCTCCAAGAAGCTGCAGTCCTTCGTTGAGGTCGGTCCCCAGCGTCGAGAGCGCATCCCCAATGCGGAGACCCCCTTCAAACACTAAGTCGCAATTTTTATTTTTGTTTTTCACCGTTTAAATGGTGCGGATGCAAACGAAACACAAAAATAAATAAACAAGACCTTTGACCCAAAGGTTTCTCAAGAGGCAGAACGGGTAAAAAAAAAAAAAAAGAGTAAAAAAAAAAAAACTGTTTTTTTTTTTCCCCTCCGTCACCTTCCATTCAAGCATTCATCAAACCTCCCTCAGTTTATGCGATGTTTCTTGCGTAGCCTCGGCGGCCGTCCCTCCAGAAAGGTAAGTACACTGCATGCAGCGGAGCAATAATCGTTCGCGTCCACCGCAACTGGAAACTTCGCACGCTCTTCTTCATTCTTCTTTGCCCAGCCCTCGACAAAGTCTACAAATACGGAGATGTCGTCAAAAAAACTTGCACTCGCAGGACCATTTTCCTCCTCCGCTTCATCTCCGCCTTCCTCAAGATAGGAACTCTTTGTTGGCCTCCGGAGAGCCTCAACCTTCTTCGAAAAAAGATATATATATTGTAGAACGGCATCCCCAATGGGATTGGGAGCACCGCACAGTGACTGGGCAACAAGGGCATGCAGGCACTTGAGATCCTTTGCGTGACCCACAGCGCCGTTACCGTACTTGCGACCGCCCGATGACTCGGGAATCGAAACAAAATGCGAATCAAAAAATGCCCACCGCTGGTCACTCAAAAGTGATCGGGCGCGTTCTTCGTAACGTGCATGAGAAGCCACGTGCTGAGCAGCCACCCTCTCATTTTCATCTACGAGCTGCTGCAGTGCGCCGATCGCACCATGCCGCTCAAGTCGTGCCACAATGATGTTCAGGTAAGGGCAGGTGAGCCAAAAGAGTGTGGCTCCCGCTGCGGCACTGCGAGCTTTGCGACCAACTTTACCAGCGGTTGAACACAACACGGCAGCGCCTCCGTGTAGCTTGCAGCTCGCCAACTCCAAATCCGCCACGCGGTAACTCTCCTGACTTGCTGCAGTCCCAAACGCACCTCGTTTATTGGAAGCCTCTAAGGGCTGCATGAAGTGCTGAAAACAAGGAACTCCGTACACCTCCCACTTTGCGGCCCTTTAGTTCTCGCCACCCGCAGCCGCCCAAAGACGCGCTACTAGAAGAGAGTCAAAGAAAAAAATATATATGGGCAAAAAAAGGATCGTGGATTTTGTCGCTTTTGGCCGCGCCTCACCAACAACACCAATTCGGTCAAAAAAAAAAAAAGAAGAAAAGGGGCACCTGACGGAAACTCACACAAGTACTGCAATAAGATAATACATTTCTGGAAGCAATACATATTATAATCAAGAAAAGATAAAAAAAAAAAAAAATCACCTTTTTCTTCTTGACATTATACATGTTGTTTTTTTTAAAAAAAAAAAGAGAGAATCGCAAAGCCAATATGCACCACTTTGCGCATCGTCGCTACGACTCGTTATGAGCCTCACCACCAGCAGCATCCGCACCACCGGAGACGCCCATCGCATTAACCGGTTCCGCAGCCAAACCATAAATTTTGTTGATCTCATCTATCGTAAATTCACGTTTTTTTGGTACAGCCAGACGCGTCACGTACTCGCGTATCTCCGAGAACTTCTTCTGGACCATGGGTGGCCCAGCGTACAGGTGTCGTTTTTTGATTTCTTCCAGATTTGCCTTCTTACGCTGTATAGACTCCGTATAAAGCCGGCACGTACTTCTCTCCACAGTCTCCGAAGGCACCTTTAGCGGCTTCATCTCTTCTTGGATACGTTTTTCGCGTTCCTCACGTGCCGCTTGCCTCTTCATCATCTCCTGATCCACCTGCCGCATGACGCTGCCTTCTATTGCTTCCTTTGGGATTCGCTTTGACGGCATTGTGGGATAAATACGGGCCTCCAGCAACCGCAGTGTTTCCTGCTTGTGTGACATCGACACGTCGTGAAGACGAGCAACCAGCCTTGCCTCCTGCTCTCCTGTCAGCTTGGCAGCAGCAGGGACGCCCCCGTCATCTGCATCCATACCTCCAAAAAATAATCCTGGCCACCCAACACCCTTTTTTTGACGTAAAAAAAAAAAAAAAGAGGGGGAAGCTTCGCTCAGAAATAAATCTGGACCTCACCCCGCCTGTCGTCACCGCCAACAACAACAAAATATCATCCCCATGAATTCCACTCACAAACAAAAAAAGCCGAAGGGCTCCCCCTCCACGGCATGGAGAATAAAGATGAGAGGGTGGGTTCGTTGCAAACAGGGTCCACTTTGTCAAAGCAAAGGCCTCTCTCGCCCCCTAGCCACAAAGAGGGAAAAATGACAGCAACAAATTTGCTCGTTCCCTCTCATTCAAATGAATACTCCACCAGTTGCCCTTCATTTCATACCACAGGCTCAAATAATAATGAAAAAAGAAAGAACCGAATCCTCAACCGCCCTGGCAGCAAAACATCGTGGTAAAAAAAAAGAAACCCATAAGAAAAAAAAAAATAAATTTGCAGCAAGAACTTCTCAACTCAGAGACGAATTCATCGCAAAGAAAGAATCCGTGTGCTTTTCCACCGCTCCCACGCAGCGAGAACGTTCTTGTCGAGGATAAAATAATGTGACAAAGATTTATGCACCTTGGCATCAACATCCACCGCACCAACACGACAAATACTTGCATTTGGAAATCCAAAATCCACAAAAACGCCCCCATACAAGCTCTTCCATTGAGTTAGTTCTAAACGCGGCCGACTCCCCGTCGACCCACCCACAGCAGGCGAAGCCGCAGCTGCTTCCATAGTATTCCCATTCAATAGCGATACCAACACAGACACATCTTTTGCCGTTGTCGAGGCGTAAAAACGATTGATGCACTCCTTTAGCCCTATTGGTGGGGCAATAAAACGCGTGCTGATGTCTTTAATTCGCCCTTCGTCCGTCCAACGTTCAATTGTTCCTCTCTGGCAGGCACATTCCACCTTCAAAGAAGAAGAAGCATCCGATTCACGCACAATCCATTGCACATCGGATATTTCCCTCGCAGAACTCCATCGATACAGGAGTTCGATATCTAGCACTTCCCAGTCAGAGTGACTGCCACAACCGAAAAGTTGCAGATTTTCCAGCACCTTTAGAATTCCTGATTCATGTAAGGCTGTAGACAAATCGTCAAGATCCGCATCACTGATCTCACCCGAAGAATTTTCTGTAAAAAATAAACGAAAATTATTTGCCGGGTAACGAATCAAGTGTCGTATCCCTTTTTTTATCGAAGGTTGATCCCCAATTAGCAGCATGTTGGGACAGTATGCAGTGCTTGAGTCACTTGGCGGTGCAACTCCCGTTCCACGCCGTTCATATTTAAGTAACTGCATGAGAGAAAAACGACATTGGTAAAGTTTCACGGGATGAATGTAATATTCGACGCCATCCACAAGTATTCCAACCACACGCGGGGGTCGCCACACTCCCTTTGGTTTAATTTCCACGACAAGCCATCGTGACCCTCGCCCATTTCCTATGAGAACAGCTGGGTTGATTGCAAAGTTTGGAATTATATGGGCGTGTCCCGCACCCCTGCAATGC